TGTTTAACGCTTGTATTGGTGAATCATTCGGAACATACTGAAGCAGGCTGGTCGTGTATAAAAGTAAGATGCAGCTTAATAGCTTTCGAGATATCCGATATGTTAAATCTGTGGACCAGCCTTTGCAGATTATCTTCATCTTGGGCTGTTAATATTGCGTTGTCTGTGTAACAGAGTATTTTTACTTCTTTATTTCTCTTTCTGTATCTTCTTCATTTGTTAACGTTTTGATGAATTCATCCATGATTAAATTGAAGAGCATAGGGTTAAATGAGTCACGTATCTTATTCTGCTGCCTATTTCTACTGGTTCTGTATGTTATCCATCTATTCTGACTTCCATTTTGTTGATTTGGTAGATGTTTTCAATAGGTTTTATAATGGGAAATTCTATACAAAAGATTAATTATATCTTTGAGTTTTACTCTGTCAAATACTTTCTTTAAGTCAACTATACACAGAAATTTCGATGATCAAATAATTTTAGCAGAAGACAAAGACGGCATCGTCTACTACATAATTAAAAAGCTCGAAAAACAATATGGATGTTGGGGTGTGGAAACTAATTATGATAAAACGCAAAACATGATCATTGGAAAGATCGCAGAAGACCTGGATATAAATAAAAATCCAACAAAACAAACAAATTATTGTAAATACTTAAGGGTAACTTTAACAAATATAGAATTAGATAAAACGGATATAATAAATAAAATAAAGAAAGGAAACACAATAAATAATACGACAATTACATTCGTTTATTTTGAATGGCGATATTAAAAGCAAAAGTAAACACCATTTTTTTTAAAAGCTGCTCACTGTACGGCTCATAGACGTGGATGAAAGAAAGTAAAGAAAATAGCGAAAAGCTGCTCACTGTATGGCTTAGAGACGTGGTTGATGAATAAAAGGATGGAAAACAAAATAAATTCAATGGAAATAATATTTTGCAGAAAAAGATGCAGATTACCACTAATGAACAATATGAGAAATAAACCAATTACAGAACTAATGTAGGTGAAGAAGACACTAACTGACTAAATAGAAAAACGAAAAATTACTCTGGTATAGACATATGCGAAGGATGGATGAGATAAGAATATTGCTAAGAAATTGGAAATAGAAATCAAATAGACGGATAAAAGAGAACATCTAGATTACGGTGAAACGAACAACACAAAAAACAATGAAGTCATTATTTATTTATTATTTATAAAAGGCATTTTAAAAAAAGTTTTCCAACCAATTAAATTTTTTGCTAATTTGTTCTATATATTCTACCATGCGGTCCATATGTATGGAATAAATTAATTTTTAGCGTTATTATGTATTATGTGAAAAAACCTGAAACAGGTCGATTTTTATTCTTAAATTGACAATTATAGTATAAAAATATTATCCACCTCCAGCACCCCCTTTGAATTATAAGCACCACCTCGAAAATTTTAAATAACAAAGGGTGTCTTGTGACACCTTCTTAAAAAGAGATTTTAGTTCTCTGTTCAGCAATATACCGTTTTTTAAGTTTGGTGCAATCATAACTGAGAAAAGTGATTTTTAAGATGTAAAATTTTCATAATGTCTCTATCACAAAACTTTAGGTTAAATGACGATAATAATTTCACATAATATTTAGAAATAAATACCCTGGTCAACAAGTGTCGCAGTCTACAGTTAGCAAAATTAAAAGAAGTTTAAAAAGAAGACATGTAAAAAATATTAAAAACCAGGTAGAAATGTTTAATTTACTGATGAAAAAAAGTTAGATGTACTTCTAGAGATCGAGAAAAATCCACCATAAGGCAACTCGAGAACTTGCCGCCATCAATGATGTAAGTAAATAATGTATTTTGAGAGTTTTGCATAAGGAAAAATACCACCTTTACAAAGTTCAGTTGGTTCAGAAGTTAATGAAGATGATCCTGACAGAAGGCAAAGATTCTATGAAATGATGATGGACAGAATGAACGCAGATTTGCGGTTCATAAACAAAATAGTTTTTTCTGATGAAGCGACGTCTCATTTAAACGGACCGGTTTATACAACATACTACTACAATATACAATACTAAACACAACAATACCTAAAAACATAACAATATACTAAAAAAAGCTAACGTTTGTGCTGGTATTATTAATAATAAAATTATTGGTTCTTTTTTTGAGGGCATAGTTGATTGTGAGATTTATCTAGATTTTTTTATTAACTTTTTAGTGCATATATTACGAAGATTTTTTCCTGATGTTAATCATCCAAATGAGATAAATCGATATATTCACTAGTAAAAAGACGGAGCTTCACCGTATTTTGCACTTTTAGTTAGAAATTATTTAAACGAGCTTTCTCCCAATAGGTGGATTGGAAGACCGAAAGGTCGTAGAACGATCGAATGGCCATCTAGATCGCCGATTTGACTCCTCTCGATTACTTCTTATGAGGTTATTTAAAATCTGAAGTACATTTTAATAGACCAAACAGTATTGTTGATTTAAAAGTTAGGTTAACGGAAGAAATTAACAAAATAAGTGAATGGTGGTCATTTTGAACATTCAATTTAATTGTAAACTACATTGAAAAATACATTCCAAATGTTCTTCTTCTTCTTCAAGTTCCACTCCTATCGGAGATTGGAAATCATTCTGGCAATTATAATTTTATTGGTTACGCGCCTGAATAGTTCAATTGAACTGCATCCAAACCATTCACGGAGATTGCGTAGCCACGAGATTTTACGTCTTCCTACGCTTCTTCTACCTTTGATTTTACCCTGCATTATATTCCTTAATAGTTCGTATTTTTCACCTCTCATGATGTGCCCCAATTATTCCAATTTCCTGATTTTTATGGAAATTAAAACTTCGCATTATTTTTCTAGTTGTTCGAGAACTTGTTCGCTTGTTTTGCGATCCATCCATGATATTTTCAAAATACGTCGGTAACACCACATTTCGAATGCTTCTAGGTTTTTAATGTTGGATTTTTTAAGTCTCCAAGCTTCAACTCCATACAAAAGGGTGGAGAAAATATAACATCGAAGCATTCTTATCCGGAGCGATATATGGATATCGCGATTACAAAAAAGTTTTCTCATTCTATTAAAAGTTGACCGTGCAATTCAATGCGCATCTTATTTCTTTTGTCTGATCAGTATCTTCTGTGATCCATGCTCCAAGATATTTGTACGAAGATATTTGTCTAATTTCTGTATTATCTAGTACTAGCTTAACTTTGATGTTTTGTGCTTTTGTAAATACCATGAACTTGGTTTTCTTCAAATTAATTTTTAGTCCATAATCGTTGGAATATATATTTAGTTGTTCAGCAAGGTGTTGCAGTTCTTCTAGTGTTCCTGCCAGAAGGACGGTGTCGTCAGCATATCTTATGTTATTAAGTGGCTCACCGTTTATTATAAGGCCCTCACTGATCTCGGCAAGCGCTAATTCTGAGATGGCTTCACTATATGAATTGAATAACAAGGGTGATAAAATACACCCTTGGCGGACCCCACGGCGAATCTGGATATCCTCGGTCAGTTCGTTTTCAACTTTCACTTTTGCTGTTTGATACCAATAGAGGTTACAGATGATTCTAATGTCTCTACTGTGTATGTATTTATTTAATAAAATTTCTTTAAGTCGATTATGCTGCACTCTGTCAACTGGCTTCTCAAAATCAATAAAACAGACATATACTTCCTGATTAATATCTAAGCATCTCTGCGAAAGAACACTTACTGCAAACAGTGCATCTCGTGTTCCCAGTCCTTTCCTAAATCCCATTTGTGTATTACTTATGCCTTCATCTAATTTCTTATGTATTCTATTGTAAATTACTTTTAAAAACAATTTCAAGACATGACTCATTAAGGCTATGGTGCGATGTTCATTGCACTCCTTTGCATTGGCTTTTTTGGGAAGCAGTATGAATGTTGGTTGGAGCCATTCTTTAGGTATTATACCTGTTCTATATATGGTATTGAATAGATCCAAAAGAAGATCAAGAGATTCAGTATTCACAATTTTAAGTAATTCGATAGGAACTTCATCAGGCCCGGGAGATTTACCACCTTTAGCTTGTTTCATTGCATATTCAATTTCTTCTCGTATAATGTCAGGCCCAGTATCATCCTTAAAATCTTTTGGTGCTTCTGTTCTCTCTTTGTCTTCAAAAAGTTGTGCTATATATTGTGTCCATCTCTGTATTTTTTGGTTTATATCTGTTATAAGTGCACCACTTTCGTCTCTTAGTTGCCTAGTTTGAAGTGTTTTTCTTATTCTCATTAATTCTCTAATTCTAAATGTTATGTGACATTATTATCGTCATTCAACCTAAAGTTTTGTGATAGACATTATCAAAATTTTACATCCTAAAAAGCACTTTTCTCAGTTATGATTGCACCAAACTTAAAAAACTTTATATTGCTGAACAGAGGACTAAAATCCCTTTCTAACAAGGTGTCACACTACCCCCTATGTTATTTAAAATTTTCGAGGGGGTGCTTATATTTCAAACGGGGTGCTGGAGGGGGATAATATTTTTATACTGTAAATGGTCAATTTAACAATAAAAATCGATCTGTTTCAGCTTTTTTTCACATAGTACATAATAACGCTAAAAATGAATTTATTCCATACATATAGACCGCATGGTATATAAAAAAGAACGTTCTTAAAATATGCCAAAAAACAAAAGCATTAACCTGATTTAGAACGACTAATGACATCTTTTAATTATTTAAATTAAATATGTATTTGCGTGCTTGGTGTGCTGCATCACCCTGTACGTTAATCGTGCAATGATGTTCATAACGATCTAAATGAAATCCCTAGAGATTTAATCACTTAATTAAGTGTATAATTAGGCCAAGAGCGTTAAGATAAAAGCAGCCGATGAATGCTATAAAAACTATCCAGGTTATAGCGAAAAGTGGAAAAGGATTTAAAGATCGCTCGCCTCTGTCTGGTTCCTATAAATATAGAAGTCTACTAAAAATACACTTACCTATAAAAAGCGCATAAATAGTTTTTCTCTATTCAAGTCATTACACTCGTTTTTTCATTGTCCGATATTAAACTGGAAGCGCATCCTTTTTGTTAACACAATTCGCGTGACACAACCTTTAAACGAACGTAATTTATTAACTAAACACTATGGGAGACGTAAAGCCTAAAGATATAATTTCCTGCAGCTTTTAACCAGGCAACCAAGATTGCAACCGTGTCCTATTTCGCACGGCACAGTTAGGCGTTCACCCGCGAGAAAGCGAGGAATTGCGTCGCTTTGCGCACCGAATGTATGGTACAGGGGTGGTTTCGCCTCCCTCCGGCCAAAGCACTTGCGCGAGCTTTATATCAAATGGAATTCGATTGCTTTGTAACAAAATCTCAATCAGTCAGGTATAAAATGTGGGGAGAAATCAATTTTTGTAACCAAAACAACGAGTCGTGGGTGTGCTTTTATTCTAATACTCTGGAATTTATGCAGATATTTTTTTTAAATTAACTTTCCACAAATTTTGTACAAAATAATGCCATAGAAAATAAGCGTTAACGAAGGAGATTAAACAGGATGGCATTATTAGGAAAAATAATCAACACCCTTCATATTGTCTTATATATATATATATATATATATATATATATATATATATATATATATATATATATATATATATATATATATATATATATATATATAACAAGCGAGTCTTCTACAGCTGGCGCCGCTTTTCGCATCCTAATTTCCAGCGTTTTCTGTCGAAGCAATCTTTAGTTGTTAGATCTCTGGTGGTCATTGCATCGTCGACATCGTCTCTCCAGGGTCGTCTTGGTCTACCTCGTTTTCTTCTAGTTGGCGGAGTCCATTCTTCTATTTTTTTTGGCCATCTATTTTCAGGCATTCTCTGAAGGTGTCCATACCAGTTAAGTCTTTTGGCTTCGATTGTGTCTATTATGTCTAGATCGATTTTCATTTCTCTCCGAATATCTTCGTTTCTCACCCTATCAAGTCTAGTGAGCTGGCAACATCGTCTCCAGTAGTTCATTTCCATGGCCTTAATTTTTGATTGGTTTTTGGTTATTTACCAGAGTTCGGCGCCGTACAGCCCAATACTTTCTATTATTGTTTTATAAATTCTTCTTTTATTTTCTTTTGCTATTTTTTTATTCCATAATAGTCCGTGTAGCTGTCTGGTGGCTGATCTTGCTTGGCCAATCCTGGAATGTATTTCTTCGCTACTTCCTGCTTTTGATGTTATTTAGACTCCCAAGTATTTAAAATTGTCTGTTGGTTTTATAGTTCCCATTTCGATTTGTAGGCTTTCTGGTTTTTCTCCTACAACTAAATACTCAGTTTGTTGTATATTAATTGTGAGGCCCCATTTGGTGTACTCATATTCCAGTTTTCTAAGCATGTAGCCTACATCACTCTCGTCTTCAGCTAGAATAGCTTGGTCGTCAGCGAAGTGTATCGTGTATAATCTATCATCTCCGATTGGGATGCCCATATTGCAGCACTTTCTTCATTACAGTGAGAGTGCCTCATTTAGATATATTTTGAAGAGTGTAGGTGCTATGCAGCAGCCTTGCTTTAGACCCTTTATAATGGGAATTTCTCTAGTTAATCTATTTCCAGTTTTAATGTTTGCCGTCATATTTTTGTAGAGCTGTTGTACTGCTTGTATATTTTTTTGCTTATTCCTTGTTTTTCCATTTCTACCCAAAGCATTGAAAGTGGTACACTATCGTATGCCTTTGTCAGATCTATACAGACTATATGAGTTGAAAGCATGTGGGCTAATCTTTTCTCGATAACTTGCTTTAGAGAAAATATACTGTCCATAAAGGATCTGCCTGCATGAAAGCCATTTTGTTCTCCTACATCTGTCATCTCTTTTTCAATTTTATTTTTTATTATTTTTACATACAGTCTTGAGAGTGAATTTATGACACTTAGCCCTCTGTAGTTTGAACAATTCTTTCTATCTCCTTTTTTGTAGATGTTGTTAATATGTGCTTTTGTCTACTTCGGTGGTAAGCCGTGTCCATTAAAGAATAAGGTGAAGACATACGCCAGTAATTCCCGTAATACTTGTGGGCTATGTTTTAATAATTCATTTGGTATACCTTGTGGTCCACATGACCTCCGATTTTTTAGAGTTCGTATTGCATTCTCGACTTCCTGTATTGTTATTTTCATCGTCTTCACTGAATTCCAGTTCATATGTTGTTGTACTGATGTTCGTGAATTGAGGTCTTGTTTCAGTCAAAAGTTATGAGTAGTGTTCGATCCAAGATCGAACACTATTGTTTTTAATCAAATAATATTATCATTCAGCTTATAAATTTGTCCACGGCTGGATGTAAGCCTCCCTAAAAGCATTTTCTCTGGGTATCCACTCTATAATTGTTTTAGTCCACGTATTATTGCCCATTCTCGCAATATGTTCTCTCTATTTCCATTTTAGAGTGTTATTTTTTCCACAGCCTCTTGTACTTTCAATTTCTTCTTTGGATTTTTCGATTTAAGGTGAGCGGTTTACCCCTAAAAAAACGCTTAGAAACGGAATACACCGACTAAATTTTTTGCATTTCTACCGCACCAAACCTTTTGTATTCGATTCCATATATTTTTTCAAGTTTATATGTATTTTTTTTTTAATTTTTTCAAGTGGACCGGAAATTGTTATTAACAAATAACTTGTAACAAAAACAATTTTCCGAATCGCTTCGAGTAAAATTTGTTTAGACGTGTCTCATCGAAGTAAATACTTTTTCTCTCTTGGTACTTTTTGGAAGAATGCTTCTTTTTCGGGCTATTTCCAAATTTTTGGTAAAAAAAGTCCTTAATTTGTGATTTTTGAGAATTTTTTTCTAAAAAGCTGCTAAATGAATTACAATTCTACAAAAAGCTTTTTGATCTTTAAATCTTCACGTATAAGTAAGAATATTTATTAAAGATAAGTGAATTTTATCTTGTTAAAAACGTAGTTTTAAATTTAAACAAAGATTTATAAGCGCTGCCCGATGGTATCGCCGTGACCATACACGCTTATTATCATAAATACACTAATATACGGAGATAGATTGCTCGAAAAGCATACTTCGAAATATTTGGTTTCATGTTTTGCCTTCCAAATCTAAAAAAAAATCCCAAAAATCACTAATTAAGACATTTTTTAACATAAAATTGCAAATAACTCAAAAAGGAATCATTTGTAGAAAAATTAGCAAGATAGAAAAAGTATTTATTTCGATGAAATAAGCTAAAAAAATACATTTGAATTTATCAGTTTATGCTCTGCTTATAGTGTAAACCGCTCGCCTATTTGGGATATAATAAAAAAAAGTAAACCAAGTATACCTAAATTACTTCGGCCGCATAGCTGTAATGTGAGCGTAGCAAGTGAGTGGGGAGTTGGAATGAAGGGCTAAGTAGCATAGAAAAGATAATAATTATTCGAGATAATTATTATATATTCCAAATTAAATAAGGGATAATTAATACAGTTAACTTATACATTTAAATTATACAACGTATAACAATTTGACCTAGTTATTGCATTGTTTGATAATTGTTTAAACGTAGAAAAAGCACGTCAAACAGAAATTGTAATGCAATATAGGACCTACAATTCAGCGAAAACGCAACCTTGGACTACAACCGGTCAATGAGGACACCAGTTGATAAAAACCGAACTAAGGAGGCCAAGCAGTCAGTAATGAGTAGTCAGTAATAGCGAGTCAGTAGGAGTGATACGGCGGGAGCCGTGAAGGCATCAATTGCCTGCTCCGGGTACTCTCGACGCGGTAGCGTCGGGTACGACGCAGTCGGTAATTCTCCGGGGAGAGCTCAACACCCGGCATAGTATCTCGTGTAGTCCGGTTATTGTGGTAACTCGTAAGTTCGTAACACAGGAGAGACCCTTCAACTGACCGAGCTCCAGAGGACCGAAACGTGTTGTGGTTGAAAGCCTAAATACACATAAGGTAACAGATTTCTATATACTAACCTGAGTAATTATATTAGTATAACTGTCAACTCTTCACTAGCTTGCTTCTCGTCTCCCGACGCGCAGAATGACGTGTTAACGATTGTATTTGTAACTTCAGGGTAAATTCAATATATTGTAGACTCTAAATTGGTTTTTTTAATGTTCCCTTCGTCCGACTCATTAGAGACTAGGAGAATACAAGATTCTGCTTATGCATATCTCCGGCTTCAAAAGTAAGCCCATAACCTCTGCTCTTTACAGGACCTGAGACCTAGGAGTCCTTACCCCTATCCCGAAAATCCCTTATCTTCTCGTAAATCCACGAAGACGAGCCAGCCCTCCAGACTAGTGTGACCAGTATTCCTTGCAGCCGCTCGCAGGGTTAGCATCCTTTGAGGATCTATAAAGTATTACATTGGGTGACAGCGTTTTCCTTACCCTCACATAACTCCCCCATTTGTATTGCTTTACAGTGGTGACAGCGGCATTTCGCCACCGGTTATTACATAGCCAGAAGAACGGAGACTATGGAAATATTGGTAGTAAAAGGAAAGTTTGAAGGCCGAAGACCAAGAGGAAGACCACACGATGAGTAGATCAAATTCTTTGGTTGGAGAAAAAATTGAAGTCGCTAGAGTGTCCAGCGCCATGTCATGAGCTCAGGGAATTAGAAGAGGCTTTGAAATACGACCTATTAGAGATAGGCCCAACATTTATCGTTCCATCGCATGAATGCATTTTGTGAATTTTATCACCTTGTATATCAAAAACTAGTAAGCTTAGGGTAATAGTGAAAAATTGCCGTTTTTGGTTCATATTCATAAAAATATCAAAACCGGCATATATATGTTTCGTGGACCTTAAGAAGGCATTTGACCGGGTCAAATTAAAGGACATTATCCACTTATTGTACCTAGATACTCGTAGATACCTCTACGAATGATAAAAATGATCGAAAATATCTACCAAAATCACACAATAAAACTAAAAGAACTAACCGACCCTATTGAAGCTGGCAATAGGATAAGACAGGGATATTCCCTAAGTTTTCTATTGTTCAACCTGATAATGGATAAAATAATAAAAAAAGTAAGAACTAAAAAAGGATAATTGATGGATTCGACCGTTACTTGATGGAAATTCATTTTATGTAACAATAAAACACTGAAAACTTTGTTTTCAAACTTCCA